CCCAGTAGACACAGTGTCCCCCTCCCTTCCTGGTGGAAGCAGCAAGGTGTGAGGACACTAGTCCCCCTGCCAGCCTCCTGCAGTGACCCCTGTGCAGGGGGTGTCCTGTCCATCCCTGGCAGTGTGCAGGCAGGGACCTGACTGTCATGGGAAGAGGCCACAGCCTGCGGCATGCCCCTGGCTGGGTGGCAGGGATGGGACAGGGTGACCTGATTGGAGACTGGAGTGGGGTTAGCCCCACTCTCACCCCCTGCTCTCCTCAGGCCCACGAGCGACACAATGTGGTGGAGCAGGAACATGTCCCGGCTGGGATGCAGGAGCCAAGCAGCCAGCAGGCGGGAGACCCCCAGAAACCCAGTGCCCAGGGTGAGTCCCCATGAATGCCTGTGGCAAAGCCCTGTCTGGGTGTATGCCCAGGGCTGGAGCAGCACCAGGGCGAGCTGCTGGCAGGAGTGGGAGGATGGAGAGGGCAGCATGGCATCTCCCAAAGATGCAGACAGGGGAGCCGGGTGTCTGGTGGGGCTGTGAGAGCAGGGATGTTCTGCAGGCACCCACAGGCTTCCCCCATGCAGAGCATCTTTCTACCACAGCTGTGGTCTCAGCAACCCTCGTGCTCCTGGAGCTGCAGCCAGCCCCGGAACATGGTCCAGAGCCTGAAGATGGTGGCGAGGAGCCAGAGCAGGTGGGCACTGCTCAGCCCAAGGGGCAGCACCGGCTAGCCTGGAAGGAAGGGACCCCGCACATCCCTGCCACTGCCCAGGAGCCTCATGGGGAGCAAAGCTGCCAGGTGGAGCAGCACTCCCCCAGCCATCCCAGTACTGGCAGCCAGGTACAGAACTGGTGGCAAAGGCTGGGGTTGCCACTGCCCTCTTCGCCAGGAGGTGGTGGTCCTGTGGGTGATGGCATAGGGGGGTGCATGTGCCCCCCACCCCCCAGCTGACTGCTTTGCCCCTTTTCCTCCCTGCAGCGTGGTGTTGGGGTGCGTGGCCAGGTGTCGGGGCCAGCCATGAGGCGCGGGGAGCCAACAGTGGGTAAGTACAGCCCCATGGAGGGAGCACCACCACCCCCCCAAGCTGGGCAGTGCTGCCCCAGGGGGCCCCCACTGCATCCCTGCCCTGCAGCACAGCACTGCATGCACATTCCGGCAGCGCAGGGAAGGGCATCAGCCCTGGGGACGTGACTTAAGCCCAGATGGGCTGGGGCAGGAATGTGAGGGCAGGATGTGGCCAGGCCAAGGGCCATCCCCAGCCGGTGGCCATTTGCCGCCTGGCTGTGCGGTAGCGGTTCCTGCCCCAGCTGGGTGCTGGGGGAGCAGGGTGCCTGGAGGGCTGTTTACCAGTCCCCCAGCTGCAGGCTGGGCGGCAGCAGGGCCATGAAAGGGAATCGATGCCGGCAGCAAACCCCAGCCTTTTGCATTCTTTGTCCCAATAAGGCCAGGAGTCGTGCGCTAGCTGGCCCTGACACCACCACCCACCCCACCCCCCCAGGGCTGCACTAACTGGCCTGGTTACGGCTTAGCACTCTCCAGGTCCTCCCTGTGGCCTTGAGGGATTGTGGTGGCCAGCAGCTGCCCTGTTCCTAGTGCTGGGAAAACCATCCCCGTGGCTGTGCTGTGAGGAAACTGGACTTAAAAACCAGAGACCAGCTCTCTGCCCCCAGGGTCAGGGTTCCCACTCAGAGCCTCCTGGGTACCACTCACTGCACTGCCAGGGCACAGGTACCCCGGTCTGTGCCTTGCCCTCTTCTGCGGCGTGGTTTGGTACTGCAGGACAGAGCTGGCAGCCTGCAAGTGCTGGCAGATTTTGGCACTGCACTCTGGGGAGTGTGGGGGTCACAGGGAGGGGGACGCCAGGGTGCTGTTCTTGGGGGGGAGAGGGAGGATGGCAGCAGCGTCCTATGCCGCGCTCACGCTCTGTGCCCCTTTTCCTGTCCCTTCCCAAGTGGCAGTGCCCACCCAGGACCTAGTGGGGACCCCGGCTCGCCTAAACACTCACCGGTGGGAGCAAGTGCCCTCCTCTCCACGCTCGGCTGGCCGCACGGGTAAGGTCCTGGCGGTCGGTGGCTGCCTCCTCTTTCTGTGCTTCCCCATGGCTGGAGGTCCCCAGTGCAGCAGAGCTCTGTGGTGACAGGATGCTGCAGGATGCAGCAGGGCTGTCTGTTGCTTGCTCACCTGCTTTCTTGCCCCCTTTCCCACCCACGTGCAGGAGCAGCCAGACCCCAGCAGAAGCAGGGGGGCAGAAGCTTTGAAGGGCTGCCGGCACCCCCGGGCGGTGGTGTGGGGGGTGGTGGATGGGACACAACAGGCGGCATGCATGGCAGGGTATCCGCAGGGCTTGCATGGCTGGTGGGGTGTCTGGGGGACAGCATGCATCATGTGGGCACCGTGGGGTGCTTGCAGGGCACCGGGGGTGGGGGGTGGTTGCATGCATCTTGTAGGCACCCTGGGGGACAGCATGCGTGGTGGGGCTCCCCGGGGGATGGCATCATGCATGGTGTGCGGCCGGGAAGGGGGGTGCAGGGTGCGTGGCGGGGACACCCGTGGGTCGCCGCAGCCCCGGTGACCCCACCGCGCTAAATTTTTCTCACTGGGGATGTGCAGTACATAGGCAGGAGAGGAGCTTGTGTCATATCTCAGGACAGTTTGCAAGTCTGGTCTTGACTTGCCCAACCAGTGCCTGAGGGAGGAGGCATGTATTATTCCATCTTTCATCTGGCATAAATGGTGAATTTGTTTAAAGCAATGGAGATTGCACATCTCAGATCCAGAGTCAATGTTTAAGAAAGCCAAAAAGGACAGATATGCTTGTTAATAACATGCTGATACAAATGACACAATTCAGAGAAGGCGGTGCCAGCCCGTGCCGCCCGGTGTTGTGCCCGCCCCTGGCAGCCAGCGGGCAGGTGGGCACCGGGCAGGGAAGAGGGGCAGCTGCGGGCAGGGGCACCCATGGGGCAGGGGGGGTGGGGAAGATGGGTTGGGGAGGCAGGTGGCATCCGTCAGGAGACTGGGTGGGGAAGGCGGGCAGCACGGGCAACTGGGCGTGAGTGGGCGTCACTCGGGGAAGTCTGACTGGGAAAGGTGGGCACCCGCTGGGGACTTGGGCCCTGTGGCAGCAATGGGCGCCAGTAGGCAGGCACTGAGAGGGCCATAAGCACTGTGGGACAGTGCTCCTGACAGGATGATGTATGCAGTTGGGCAGCGGAGCAAATGGATGCCAGCGGGCAGCTGGGCACTGAGAAGCTGGTGGGCACCAGTGAGCAGGTGGAAACCAGCAGACAGGTGGGCAACAACAAGCAGGCGGGTAGTGATAGGCGAGGCAGGCACTGATGGGACACGTCAGCAGCAGCAGTGGCATTTGGCTGCTGGCAATGCGGAGGCTGAGCGTGGGCACTGCCAGAAGAGCAGAGGCCGTGGGCAGGAGCATGTCTGACAGCCCTCACCCTTTGGCAGGGATGCTTAGCCTGCTCAGGGCATCTCAGTATTGGGAGGCCATCTGGCCCTGCAGCCCGTCCCCATCCCCACCATCCCGCCATATTTGTGCCCAGGGTCCTTCCCCTGCGCCATCACCTGCCCTGTGTTCATGCTCTGTGCCCGCTGACCTGCTGGTCCAGGGGAGTCTATGCTGTCCTGCTCCATCCCATCCCTGCTGCTGTGTGGTATCTGATCCAGCCCTGCCCCTCATCCAGCCCTGACTGCCTGCCTGCAGTCTTGGCGGGCTTGTGATGTTCCTGGGGCTGTCCCTCACACCAGGGGGACTTGGCTTCAGCTGGTGTGCAGCGGAAAGTGCCCTTCCTTGGAGAGGAGGGTGAGCTAGGGTGGTGAGGGGGGGCTGGCTTCCCCATTCCTTGGCTGTTCCCAAAGCCATTCCCCTGTGCCAGAGCTCACTGCCCACCACTGAGGCAGGATGCGTGCAGCAGCCAGGCAGCCCGACCGGAGCCAGTCCCCGGGCGCGGGGCTGAGCCTGCCGGGCTGGGGCTGGGGCAAACCCCACATGCCTCTCACTCCTCTTGCAGAGGTGACCCTGGGGCTGCAGAGCACCCCTATCCGCATCACCACCATCCCCAGCAGCAGTGGCAGTGTCTGCAGCGTCAGCAGCGTCACCAGCAATGTCACCAAGGTGAGTGCCCCAGAGGGGCTGGGTGCTGTGGGGCTAAGATGGGCATGGGGTGGGAGGTCCTGGGCTTGGGAGCAGTGAACAGGGTGGTGCAGGTGGGTGCTGGCTGCACAGTCCAGAGGCTCTGGCTATTTTTTTCTTTTTTACAGCCAGGGGGGACCCCAGGGTCTGTGTGTGGAGGTACAGCCCCAGCCACGTGAGCTCCCTGTACCCTGGACTGTGCCATCCTGTATGCAGACACTTGGGGGTTAGGGGGCAGGTGGGCTGGGAGCCTTTTGTGGTTCTCCCTTTGTTTTAAACACATCTAAGGTTGGCAGCAGCTCAGGGGAAAACCTATTACCACCTGTTCCTCTGTTTTCCCTCTTGGGAATGGATGGACCTTTGCCATGGTGCTGGGGACCCAGCCTAGGGGGGTGCTTTCTGGAGGTCTCTGACCCCCTCTGGAAGCTCAGGCTGGGGTCCTGGCTCCTCCTGCTTTGCAATCCTGAGCCGAGAGCAGAGCAGAGCAGCAGCCCCAGCCTGCCTAGCCTGGGAGGGATTCTTGGGTGCGACTGGAGAAAAAAAAAAAACACAAACAAAAAAAACCCCAAACCAATAAAATCCCTCTGCTCTGTTTTGGGGTGAGAGCGGCATGCGGCCCCCTCCCTCCCCTGCCGTGGGTGCTGGGTGCACACAGGAGGCAGCCCCGCGCATGCAGCCCTTCGAGTGCTTTTATCTGCTCCTGCCCATCTAGGGTAATGCGAGGCGCTCACGCACACGGCCTTGGCAGGAGTTGGGATGTCAATTGTGGCGCTGCCTTGCTTGCGGCCCTGCACGCGCTCAGCTGCCTCTGCAGGCACAGCACTGCCAGTGGCTATGGTGCCATTGGCTTGCTCTGTTCTTGGCTTAGCCCTTGCCAGCATGAAGCAGGCAGTGCCCACAGCCTGGCAGGGCTGCCCTCAAGTGCTGCCCGCACTAGCCAGCGGGTCCCACTGCCCACAGGCAGCTTGCTGCCTGCAGAAGGGTGACTTCCCCACACTAATGCGCTTGGGCAGGCTTGGCCCGAGCAGCCTGTCAGCTCTCATTAAGGTATTAGCAGTGCTGCCTGGTAGGGTGAGGGGCTAGGACCCATCGGCTGCTCAGCAGGAGACGCAGCTGCCGGGTGTGCTTCCAGCGGGCAGGGAGGAGGAGGAGGAGGCAGCAGCGGTGCTGGCAGTCCTGCCAGGTAGGGCTCAGTTGGGGGGACTGGCAGGGTGTGGGGATCTGGGGACAGCAGCCGCTGCAGCATGTCCTGTCGCTGGTGGGGTGCCACCTGTGCCCATTATGCAGGGACCTGGGGCATTCATCAGGCAGCACACGGGGATGAGGGCCTGCAAAAATCACAGCTGGTAGCTGAGGCCCTGACACCAGCACCAGCCTGGGGCTGGACATGTTGGTGTGTTGTGGGTGATGCTGGCCAGGAACGGAGGGCACTTGGGCGAAAGGGCATGTGGGTGCTCCCCGGCCCTGGAGTGCCTGCAGCACGGTGATGGTCTGGGCCTGATCCTGCATGGGGGCTCTACCCCACCTGCTGTGCCCCACAGCCCTGCCAGCCTGGCGTCGAGGGCACCAGCAGTCGTTTAGGGCAGGGCGGCTGCTTGGCCTGACTGAGCCACCTGGTCCTGGGGCTGGAAATACTGCCAAGTGTCAGCGCCTGCCTCGGCACCCCTGCGCAGGACCCCCGGCCGCCGTGACAAGAATAGCCCAGCAGGCGCAGAGCCCTGCCGGGCCAGCCTCCAGACGGGGGTGGTGCAACCGGCACCCCTATAAAGGGTAGAGGACAGCTGAGCAGGGCTCACCACAGCGCCTGCTGGCACCAGCACTGCCACCATGCCAGGGGTCAGCCTGGAGGGGCTGCCACAGGCCAGGGCGGCTGAGCTGGCAGAGCTGTGGCGGGAGCTGGTGGCTTTCCGGGAGGCGGTGGAGGGGCAGGGGGAGCAGGCGCTGCAGCGGGTGCATCCCCCGGCGCGGGCGCTGCAGGCGCTGGAGGAGGAGCACCTGGAACTGCGGGCAGAGCTGGCGTGCCTGGGCCGCCGCCTCGACGGGCTGATGCTGCGGCTGCAGCAGCCCCCCAGGGAGGACCTCAGCACCCTCTTTCTGGAAGCACAGGACCCTTGCGCCCACTTTGAGGGCACTGAGGAGCCCAGTGGCCCTGTGGCCCATCCGCCTGCTTTCTCCAGCACGCGCCAGCAATCGACCCTGCACCTCTCCCGGAGCAACAGTGGCGTGAGTGCGGGCAGCCCTGCCCCACGGCAGCATCTGGTGGTGGG